CACACACGTATTTGTATGTATGCCTGTTCCTGGGGGTGGAGGTGCAGATGACAGTTACACATAATTCTCCAGCTGGTTTCTCCAGGTTTTAGCAAGGGTTGGGGCAGATTTCTGGCACTGAGAAAGAGGCCTCAAATACACCCCTTTCATTTTCCCCATAGATATGAATGGTTTTCATTTGCTTCTGAGACTGGGAACAGTAATGTGCTGCCTTTTACTGTGCTGTTGTGGTGTAGGAAAAACCCTCTTCTGATGTATCTACCTGGCCTTCACTGACAGGAGTAGGCATAAAATACATCTTTGCCCATAGACCCAGCCGAGGGAGATGTCAGACTCGGGTTCTCCTTCTGTCATGGCCTTTCTACCTGCAGTATTACCAACCTGCTGTCTGTAACCCACACCCCATTCCCCTCCCCTTCGCTTCCCTGGCTTTTGCAGATCATGTATTCAGCCACCTGCTTATCACTCACCCTCACTGACATTCCTGGTGGGTGGGAGAGTAACGTTGGGAGGGTGAGAGCCAGTAGCGTAGGGAGGCAATGCTGGTAAACTTTTTCCCAAGCAGCACCTCAAGAACTTTCATATGGGAATATCCTTGAAGACTATAAGACTTTCGAATGGCTAGTTAAACCATTGTAGCTGTCTAGGTTCTTAGAATTGTTTATACTTCTGACTGTGTGATGTATGAATGGAATGTGGGTTTTAGTTACACACTGGCTCCCCGCCTGTACCCCTCAGTCCTGACAAAGAAATCACTTTCACAGCATCTCAAACCTCTGCAATAAACCTTCAAACAAAAGAAAGTCTGAGTGGAGAGTGAGTTGACTGGGAACCTGACAGAAGCCCTGCACCCTCCCACCCCACCGTAATCCTGCTACATAATACTTTCCCATCAAAATTCCAGGGATTCTGTGCAGATGGTGCTTTGTTCCTTGCAAGAAGGAATGTATCTTGAATGCCTACCCAAAATTTTATGTAGATCTGCATAAATGTGCCATTTCTGTGCCAGGGAAATTATTTTGTTTCTCATGCAGACAATTGCAATACTCGTCCTCTCAGAAGATCAGCACACAGCAGAGAGTCATTAGAAACAGAGGTGGTTACCCAAGCAGCATGCAATTTCATTTCTGCTGTGTTAGAAGTACAGATAATGGTGGCTGGCCTTCTCTTAAGGGGAGGGGCTATGGTCCCAGGTCTCTGATGGAAACAGGAAGAAGAAGAAGGGGAGGACGACGACAATGACATTGGATTTATACCCTGCCCTTCACTACCCAAAGGAGTCTCAGAGCGGCTTACAAACTCCTTTCCCTTCCCCTCCCCACAACAGACACCCTGTGAGGTAGCTCTGACAGAAACTGCTCTTTCTCAAGGACAGCTGTGCCAGAACTATGGCTTGCCCAAGGTCATCCAGCAGGTGCAAGTGGAGGAGTGGGGAATCAAGCTCAGATTAGAGTCCGTGCACTTAACCACCACACCAAACTGGCTCTCTTCATCTTCATCACACAAAGCCTTCATCTTGGGACCCTCAGGCATGTGGAAAGGGGGAATCGGAGTTATGCCTTCACCAGTGACAAATCCATGGGGCGTGGGCAGCCAACCAAGAGAGCCAGCCAAGAGATGTCCTGCAGAGAGGGTCAAAGCAGAGCCCTGAAGGAACCCTGTCTACCAGCAAGGGAGCTTCTCTCATTTTTCCTGCTGTTCTTCTTAGACTGCAAGAAGAGTTGCCAGGCTAGGGTTGCCAACCTCCAGGTGGTGACTGGAGATATCCTGGAATTACAACTGATCTCCAGGTGACAGAGATCATTTCACCTGGAGAAAATGGCTGCTTTAGAATGTGGACTCTGTGGCATTCTACCCCGTGGAAGTCCCTCCCCCCACACTCACTCTGCCCTCCTCAGGCTCCACCCCCAAAATCTCCCAACCCAGAGCTGACAACCCTATGCCAGCCTCCAAGTGGGGGCTGAAGATCTTCTGGAATCACAACTGACCTCCAGACTGCAGACATCTGTTCCCCAAACCCAGCCCTCCCCAAGCTCAACCCCCCAAATGCCCAGTTATTTCCCATGAAAGGCTGGCACCCCTTGTGCTCTTCACAGCTGATCCTTCCGAAAGGCAGCAAAACCCGGTCCACAGAGGGGCTTGTGATGCAGCAGGAAGGGCTCTGGGACTCACCCAAGGGTCCGAACCATCGGCTGTGAGCACAGGAGTAAGGTCCAGGAGGTCACAGTTTGTTATCAAAATGGGATCCACAGAGGGATGCAAAATGCCATTGGAGCTGACCCTCTTTATAGCCTAACAATAACTAAAGAGACCACAGTGAAATAATGTAGCAAAATGAACACCGTGCAAAATTTCTTCAAAATATATATTAGAACGTTTTAATCATATTCTACAATAGTTCCACAAAAAGTACAAGTGTTTGGAACAGCACACAATATGTGATCAACAATCAATACATATTACACTTCCGTATGAAAAGTCTTATTACAAAGTTCCAAGAAGACTCCAGATGGCCAATGCACTATTTCGTAATTTCAGTGGGTTTCCTTGATCTTCATCAGGACTGCTTAAATGGAACCAAAGCCTTCAATAAGTAAACACAACCATTAAAAAATGCTTCATCGCAAGCATAACAGCACATTGCCAATTTGAAACTGACTAGACAGCTGTTACACCCGCAATGAAGTGTTTTTGAATATATATTCAATTCAATTAATAGCTGACATATATTTACGAATGAAATGTTGCACGGTATTCGTTTTGCTATCTTTATATCCTGGCAGAAGAGCATCCATGCCTGGCCTCGCAACTGCCCCCTCCCCCCCATGTCAGAAGGGGGTTGGGCTTCCTGGGCATTACTGTCTGCAACACTGATAAATGAGCTGCCTTCATAAGAGTGGTTGAGCCGTGGAACAGACTGCCTTGGGAGGGGGTGGGTGCTCCTTTGCTGGACGGCCATCTCTCGGGTATGTTGTAGGGCCCTCTTTCGGCTCTGCTCCTGCAGAGTGCAGCAGGGGGTTGGACTAGAGGACTCTAACATTCTGTGACTCTGCCTTAAGAGGAAATGTTCATGACCGCAAACTGCCCAACCATGAGGCCCATGTGACAAAGATTCATGTATTCAGCTCTGAATGGAGTTTTTGCCTCTGCATCGTAACACAGCACAGCACTAACTGAACTGTTCAGTCTCTGGAGAATGCATCAGGGCTGTCTTTCTGCACTCCTGCAGAATCCTTTGGGCCCATTTTGCTGGGTCCTTCCAGTGCCTGTCAAGTTTTTTCAGTTATGTCATCTTACGACTTGCTTCATGTAGCAAAATGATATTAATCCAGATGTCCCATCCTTTATATATTTATCTATGAAATGTGTGTTTATTTAAAGAAATTTTAGCTCATCTTTCTGAAACAGCAACTTGGCAAGAACTCAACGGTATACAGTAAAACACAAAGTTAAAAAGAGCCAGTGTGGTGTAATGGTTAGGGAGCTGGTCTAGAATCTGGGAGAACCAGGTTCGAATTCCCATTCTGCCATGGAGCCTTGCTGGGTGACCTTGGGCCAGTCACCCTTTCTCGGTCTCACCCACCTTATTGTGAGGACAAAATGGAAGAGAACAACGCAAGCCACTCTTTGGGTTCCCATTGGAGAGAAAGGAGGGATATAGATGTAATGAACTTTAAAAAGTGAGTGCATGACAGTATGACTGACAGCATCAAATAGTCTTCCCTTGCACTGCGTTCATTGCAGATCCTGCAAAAACAAGTGGATGAAAGTGTTTTGGGTTTTCTAAAGCTCTAATAGTGCCATGCAAGAGAATGCGTCTCTCCAGGAAGTGAATTCTAAAGCTGCAGAGTGCAGCCACCAAGAAGCCCCTCGTCTGCCCCAGTGGTGCCCCGGTTTCTTTTAATGGCGGGGCCAGTGGATTGCAGTCAGCCGTGTGTGTTTGAGGGGACAGGGGCACAGGAGCTTCCAAAGAGGCAGCAAATCACAAGGCACGGAGCCATGCAAAGGCCACCAGGCCCATATCCTGAGTTGAGCCTGGAAGCCAACGGGGAAGACTGTTCCTTTGTGTGTCTTCCAGCTGGGGCAGCCGGACCCCTGGCTGGCACAAGGCGGAGGAGAGCCTGTGTTCCGCCTGCTTTGGTTTCTGCTCCCCTCCTGCTCCTTACCTGCTGGGAGTCCAGCAGTGTCCACTAGAAATTCTTTCGAAGGGACATGGAGGACATCAATGTCCTTGATCTTTGAGGTGGCCAAAGCACAGAAGACGGTGGCTAAATTCTTGTTTCTGAGGAAGGGCAGCAGCCATTTTTCAAGTGCAACTGAAAAAGACAGATGCCCCCCCCCACCTCCAAAACTTTTGATGCAGAGGCACCCCAGGGGCAATGGACTTCCTTGGACGTATTGGGCAACATTCTGTGTCAGACATAACTGATCTATCCAGGTACTCCAGAAATTCCTCCGGGGGCGGGGGGGGGAGAGATAGGCATTCTCCAGTTCTTGTCCGGTTCTCTTTCTCCTAAATAAGCCAAAGCCTAAGGACAGTGCTGGGTTTTCTTGCTCTGTTTTACAGCATGGATTGTCTCCACCAGTCTGTTTTGCTAAGCGTGGTACATACAAAGCTGCTGGGATCGTTGAGTAATGAATCCAGATGTTATCCCTTTTGGCCTTGGGGCAGAAGAGGCTGTCTTCCTTTTGAGGCTCCCCAACTCCCTGTGCTTCGTTTTCATGCCCTGGCACGGACGGCACTGGCAGGCACACGGGCTTCCAGGACCTGCTGCTCTGGGCAGCAGCCAGTAGATAAGGCCAGCCCCCCCCCCCCCCCCCCGCCCCCAATCCTGTACCACGGGTGGCCAGGAGCAGGTCGAGCCCTTCATTGTGCCATCCCAAGGGGCCACCCCTCAGATGGCCGAGGAGACATCTGGCCCCCTGGCTAGTCGGGGTTTGGGCAGTGTACCGCCCTGAGTTCGAAACAGAGGCCAAGCAAGAGCAGAGAGAGGCTGGTCTTACTTTCTAGACACTTTATTCGTTTCTTCCGAATGACAGAGAAAGGATCAGCACAGAGCAGGCAGGCAGCATTTATTATCTTGGGGCATTCTTAGGGCTGCCTTTTTGTCTTGGTGGGCAAATAGATGTGCCATTTCTTCTCTGGCATCTATTCGTTAGCTCATTCTCCCCTTCCTTCTTTCTCACACTAGTGATTTCCTTCTGTTACCTCTGATACAGATAAATGCCACAGCAAAGTTATGTTAGAACCTACTGGGAACTCAGCTGTTCTAAGGAAGGACCAAGAGGAAGAGGAATCTCTGGACCAGGAAGTGCATTTTTCAGTCCCTCGTCACAGACTCATGAGTGGGCAAGTTTGGTAGAAAGGAGTGTGCCGGGGGGTGGGTGGGGATGGGAGGTTTTATAACTCTTCGGTTTCTCCTGCCAGTGGCACGTTCACCTCAATGCTGTATTCTGCAGGGTCTCCTGAAGCCAGCCAAGGGACTGGGGTCCTGTTGAATGAAGGTCTGTTGCTGACTTCTTGGTTATACACGACAACAGGTTCAGGTACCAAGGGGCCGGCATCAAACTCGGGCATCTGGAAGGTCATCAGCTTGGCGGCCTTCTCATATCCCCCGTAAGGAATAGCAGTCCTAGAGCAGAGTGAGGAGGAGAATTGGGTTTTTGAAAATAATGGCCCTGCAGCTCAGGGCAGGGGTCCTTGTGGGCTGGCTCCACCCCTCCTGTAAAGGTGGGTGTTGGTGCCTGTGCCACCAGGCCCCAGCGCCCCAAAGAGGTTTGCCTGCCAGGAGGGTAGGACAGCGGTGGGTCACACAGTGGGTGTGGGTGTGTGCGCTGTGGGGCCCAGAGCCATGGGAGCCAGGGAGGGAGGGGAGGCTGCATGCACCCTCTCTCCCTTCCCTGAGTGAGTGTGTGCATACGCGTGTGTGTGCGCTGGAGGTGGGGGGGAGGCGGTGTGTGCCCTCCTTTCTCCCCCTCGGCATCGCATTTGAGACCATAGGTGTAAACTACGTGGGGGGGGCTTTCCAGGGGGGGCTAGAAAGAAATGCTAATTTCCTACAAATGCTAATTGAGCTAGCAGGATAGACAATGGGATGGTTAGCCATCCCCCCTCCCTTCTCCATGCATATATATGGAGGTACCAAATTCTGGGTTTTTAAAAATTAATTCCATTGATATCCCGCCCTCCCCACAACAGGCTCAGCCATGGATAGATTCTATAGTCTTTCGGAAGACAGATCTCTGGAGGCAGGAAAAGCTGAGCAGGGAAAAAGATCTGATAACATTCCTCGCAACAGGAAGAGAAGGTCTCTTGCGGCCAGACCCATCAAGTTTTTGGTTGTATCTTTGCACGCTCTAGGTCAATAACTAAGGTTTTTGATATCCAGAACATACCAGTCCTTGAATAGGTTTGGTGTCTGTCAGAAAAGAAAGTGTCTCCACCCACTTTCAATGGAGCAACCGTCAGACTGCAAAGCGTCTGTTGGGCTCAACATGCTGGGCTCCCATTTACATTTGGGGGGAAAGTGTGTCTCTGTGTTACTTTACTTGGGTCTATATATCCTTAACTGAGAACAGTTGTTTTTTTCATGGTGGGGGGGGCTGTTTTAACCACTCCTAAGCTCTTCTTTCAATTTCAATTTCATTTTTAAATGGTGAACCCAACTGCATGAAGAAGATTGGGGGGGCATGCAGATCAGAGGCCTTTCAAATTTTCCTTTTGCCCTGTGTGCAGGCCAGAGAGAACATTGGCAAGAAATGTGCACTCTGTACATGTACATGCTCTTCATTTTGCTGTTACTTAAAATAGTGTGGTACAGTTTCAAAGGGGCAACCCACTGGGAGGTATAAAATGAATGACAGGATTGCCCATTGGAAACAATGGGAGAGGCTTGAAGGCCCATCGGAGATTATGGGAGCCAGGGATGCAAAATGACTTGCATGGGCTCCATTGAAATACATTGCAGCACCAAAAAAGTTGCAAAGAAAATGTGGAATGGTTTTTCCATTAAGGTCTTTGGGCCCAGATAGGCTACTCTGGGACTGGAATACCAGCCCCCGGAATGGAAAGAGAATCCCTAGGAATAGAATCTGTGCTCTGGGACTACAATGACAGCCCCCAGAGTGGAATTATAGTCCCTAAGAAGAGAATCTGTGCTCTGGGACTGGAATGTTCTCCTCCTTCAGAATCCTTATATTTTCCTTTGAATTGTTTTCAGTCCACCATTCCATTTAATTTGCCATGGATAGATTTGTAATTAGAAAGTCCTTTCTGATACAGTTAAAGTTGTATTTCACCAGTGTGATGATCATTTGTTGAAGCCAAATGTGTTCTGCAAGTTGAACCTGAAGAACAGAAATTAACCATGCACAGGAATGTAGTCACTTCCCTTTAATTTAATTATGTGAGTTATTTTATTAATAATTTGTTCTGAATGTCTGTGTTTTGAAGGCGGAGTTTCTAAGAAGTGTGCTAAGTAGGCAAAAATCCTCAGGGGCTGTCATTCCACTCTGGGGCCTGTCATTCCAGTCCCTGAACACTCCTGCTACCCCCAGGGGCTTTCATTCCACTATGGGTTCTGTCATTCTAGGCCCAGAACACATCTGCTACCCCCATAGACTTGGTCTCTCATTTCTAGTCACAGACCACTCCTGCTACATCCAGGGGCTGTCATTCCACTTCAGGGTCTCTCATCCCAGTCCCAGACTAGTCTATTTGGGCCCAGAGACCCTAATGGAAAATCCGTTCCTCATTTTTATTGCAACTCTACTTGTACTGTAATGTATTTCAATGAAGCCCATGCAAGTCAATTGACAATCTTGACTCCCATTATATCCAATAGGCAATCCTGTGATTTGTTGTAGTTTTATTTATTTTATTGATTTTTCTCCCGCCCATCTGGCCTAGGCTGGCTCAGGGTGGCTCACAGCAGAATAAAGCTCTCATAGTACATAAAACACAGTTCATTACACTAATACTGTTCCTAATTAAAAAATACGACAATATAAAAACAGTATTAAAATCAAATATAGTGTTAAAGTGCTAGCAAATTCCAATTTTTGCTTTAAATCTATTGGTCTGCTTCAGTTAGGGGAAACTAG